TATATATATTTGTTTGTTTTTCTTTTTTTGTTTTTTTTCCTTTTTAAAAATTATAGGATATTTTTTACTTCTTCTCATTTAAGCTATTAAAAAATCCATTCGGCTTAAGATATATCATAAAACTGTTTGAAATTTTACTTGAATCAAATTTCCTACTTTTCTTATAACTTTTAATTTTAATTAAAAACTCTCACTAGCAAGGGAAAATCTATTTTTAAGATAACGTCACAAAACAGTGAAGGCAGAAAAAAATAAATCATTATTTTTCAAGTGATAAAACTGTTTGCTCAATATATTAAACGCTCAGGAGACTACAAGAATGAAGACTTAATGTTGTTTTAAAAAGCAACACCTTAGGAGTGGGCAAGGTGGGCAACTGCCCAAGGCCGCTGAAATTTGGGGCCGCCAAGAATTTCGGATTAATTAATAGGTTATTACGAGTTTTTTTTATATATTTGCTAAATCTTGGATATATTTTTACGATTCCTTGGATATATAATTCATATGAGTTATTATAATTTATATTTCCAAATGTGAATTTCATTTCAGTTAATGTTTCTTTATATGAGTAGTGTAATTTTTTAAATAACAACTTTTTGTCAACTTTTATGTCATAGAAATTAATTGTATAAAAATTTTTAACTATTTCCGATTTGTCAGTGTGTGTTTGGGGCAATCTTTGAGAACTGCGGCTGAAAATTTCAAGAATAATAAAAAACAGGGCTGGAATGATTTAAAAATATTTAATTAAAATAATCATTGATTTCTATCCCTTGATTTTTTTTAAATTACAGATTTATCTAAAACAATAATATTTATGCGGAACTCAATAAACTAATATATTATATTTAAGGCTGTGATAATAAAAACTTGATATTAAATCTCATTGATAATAAATGTTTATTCATAGAATCAAGAAATAAGTTAATAAATTAAGAAGCAAAATATCTCTTTTTTAAGAGCTTAAATATAGACAAGAATGTAACTTTTAAATTATAATTTTCCATTATTCATTTCATATCATTTTCATATTTCAATGTGCTCATTTTAATATGTAAAATAATTTGATCGCTGTATTATCGATAAATATATTTCAATTATACCTATTTAATTTTATACTCATACAAGTATTTTATACACTTTTATTCAATGCAGGTAATTTTATAACATTTTAAATATCTATTTGAGAAATAAAGAATAAAGACATGTTCTGACAAGAAATTTCTATTTTGATTTTTTTTTCTGATCTAAATTAATTTTCTATTCATTCGACAAGTTGGTTTTCAGTCTTGGCAATTTATTAATGTTTTTAGCTTGATAAAAAATAATAACTGACTTTATTTATTCAGTAAGTTTGCAATAATTAAATCACAATATTAACCTTTTTATTATTAGTGTTATTAAGAATTTCAGTTGCAATATTATTGTTAGGTAATATTATTGTTAAGTAATATCAAGTATTAGACGCCCGGTGGTTGAGTGGTAGCGCTTTCCGCTCCAGTGCCACAGGTCTTGGATTCGATCCTCGGGCCGGGCAAGGTTGACTCAGCCTTCCATCCCTTCAGTGGGTCGATAAATGAGTACTAAGCATGCTTGGGAACTAAACTCAGGATGTTCCGTGTTTGGCTGACCACCTAACCAGAACATCTGCTCCTGCACCCCAGAGCCCAAGGTCAAGAAAACTAAGATGGGCATAGTGGGCCTTGGCCCTCTAAGGGCTGTCACGCCTCTGAGTTTAGTTTAATATCAAGTATTATTTATACATTTTGTCAGATCGTTAAAGGCGAAAATAAATTTTAAAAAATAATTTCACCAAAAATCTAATGTTTAATAAATATTTTGTTAAATAAAACATGATTTTTTTTACCTATCATATAATGCTTCACCCAGGGCGGCTAAAATCCTAATCACGCCCCCAAAGTACAATATCCACTTTTAAAACGTTTGTTGAATTGTCTGTTGTCTGTCTCCTGATTCAACCCTTCTTCGCTTTGCGATTACTGTAGTTCAGAACGACTATTTTATCATTGAAGCTTTTATTATTTATCTTAATTAATAATTGTGATTCTAAAATGTAATGCAACGAAAAACTCGACTTAGATTACCTGAGGATAAAATTGATTCTCTAAAACGAATATAATATGATATGTAAAATCTTTGATTGAATTTTGTTTAATTTAAAGTTTTCAATTATAAATAAGAAAAAAGAATTTCTCTTTCTTTAAAGAAATAAAATGTCAGGAATAATGTTCATTACTTGCTTTAATCTCCGCCATTTCGCTCTTCGGTTTTGAAACCACGTTTTTACCTGAAAACAAAAGAATATACACTGATAAAGAAATAAAAGGAAAGAATGCTTTTTAAAGAACAAAATAAGTAACAACTATAGGCATATGAAATATCAGATAATAGCTAAGCTCTTCGTGGACACCTCTGCCACGCAGTGGCCTGTGATATCTAACACAGTGGCGCTGTAGTTGCGTTTGTTTAAAGGTACCTCATTTGTTTGCCCAAGCTTGTAGCGTAAGAATGTTTTAAAGCGTCGTAGCTTAGCCCAATCCATGTTTTTTTTTAATTTCTTTGTTAACCTATCGTTAGTACCCAAGTTAAAATTTCTTCTGATATTTCTTTGCTAAACTAGCATTAAATGCTGCACCACGATTTAAAAAAATATTTAGATAAAATAAATAAAAAAGACAGCATCAACTACTATAAATATTAGCTGTTTATATAAACCATGTTATAATAAAACTACAATTATTTAACATTACTTACTTAAAACATAAGTTAAACACAAGTTTTCCTTTATATACAATATCTTTTTTATTTTCGTTATTTTAAATTCATACATCAGAATTAAAAATTTTAATTGAAAACAACCAATTGATTGAGTATTTATACAAAAGAAGACAATGAAAAACACTTTAAAAAAACTTATCATGAATATTAATGGTATTACAAGCTCTCGCAGCATTAGAGCAAATATCCTGAATTTTGTCAGATATAAATCGATTTCTACTTTTTATTGCAGCTTCAATTTCTGTAATTTCTTTACTTTTCTTCAAAAAGTATTCTCTCATTTGACCTGAAATGAAAATAAAACATAATAATGGGAAGAAAGGCAAATTAAAATAAATACAATTTTTTCAAAAAAATGCTACCTTGAAAAGTTTCACTTTGAGTTAAAAATTCCAATGTTAAAGAAAAAAAAATATACCTGCAGATAAACTGACAACCGTTTCTGAATTTTTTTAAGCCAAACATTTATAAATCGGGCAATTGGTAAAAGAACAAACCACAGTCTTAATTTAAATTTGACGAAGCTGTTTGATTTTTTTAATACATCCATAGAAAACTATATCTACATTTCTGTACCCAAGCTCGAAATGTTAAAATAGAAGGAACATGTTTCGGTAATTTTCTTTTATTAGAACTCAAACAGCATACAAAATTTAAATAGAGGAATCTACCTACTAAAAACATAAATTATTTTTAGTAAATAACCGAAATTTCGAAAATATTTACTCACATTTGTAAAAAATAGAACTGTACTCCATTCCACCTCAACTTGGCAATGCTGCGAGAGATTTGGATCATAGTTTTTGTCATAAAAACTGCAACGTGTGGTGGTCACGCCTATTTAAAGGTGTTCACAGCTGTCATTCATGTCATCTAATCCTTTTGCTTTTATTAGAACGCATTTATAAATTAATTACATTTTACGCAGATAAATTTCTAATATATTCCAATATGACAATACAATATAGACAATACTTTCATATTGCGTGACAATCATTTACAACTTCACACGCATTTAGCTACCAAAACTATTTCTCAAGTTTCCCAATTTCGGTCAAGTTAGGGCGACTAAAAAGTAAAGCAAACTTTACATTAAGGATGTGCAATTGAAACAACAACGAAGTGCTTCAGGATGGAAGCATTTCTATTTCCTTTCTTTTGCTTCCTTTCTTTACCACAACGCTGAAAAATTGGAATAATACGAAAAGACAAATATGTTAAAATATAAATTTTTTGTCCATAACTTTGTTTCTTCTTATGTACGACAGTATATATTCGTGTCTTCTATTTTATAAAAAAGCAGTTCTTCAGGTGAATAAACAAACAATATACTCTGCCACCTCCATCTTCAACATGGTATCAACTAATGCATAAATTTTTATTATAAGTTTTTAAATTTCTTCTTATTTTTTTTTTCATTTCTTTTGTAGTCTCTGTTTTAAATATGTCATCAAAAAGTGTAAGCAAATCAACCTTTCATATTTATGCTGCACATAATAAATAAATTTTGCGAAAGAGAAAAAGCATTTGAATAATTGAAAAATAATTTAATAATACTATCTGAACATATAAACTTTTTGGCTGTTGCTGGTTTAGCAAAGGTTTACGTTTTTAAGGAATTTGCTATTAAAAATTCAGAAAAAAAGCAAAATTATTACGAAAAATTCAAAACATTTGGACAATATTTTAGCACTATGACACAAAAGTAAGAACTAAAAGTTATGAATAAACATTTGAAAATTCATTATTTGAAAATTTCTGCTATTTCAAGTAATTTCAAAATAATATAATTAGAAACAGGTAAATTCCAGATTGATAAATTTCAATAGAAGACCAGATTTAAAAGATCAAATCAGATATAATCTTGTTTTTGTTTAATTATGCAATTTTAAAAATTATTTGTTTCAAACATATTTTGTTTTTCAAAATGATTGAAAAGAATTACATTTAATCTTTTAAGATAAAAGGAATTACTTTTCCCTTAATTGTACAAACTATAAAAGAAAATGGTAGTTAAAATTTATTCAGGAAAATATTTGTTCAGTATTTAAAATTCTGTGGTATAATAAGAGGTAAAACTTTTTTTTCTTCTAAATGTAGATAAAAAGGCAAAAACTAGCAGGCTAACCAGCAGGAGTCTTTTTATTCTTCAGCATTTTTCTTCGCGTTAAATATTAGTCAACTTAATTTTTTTAAAAAAAAACCATACAGGTCAGAATTATAAGTGCAGCTATAAAGGATCTAGTTTTTTTTCTAATTTACAAAGTTCAAGGTTTTTACGAATCTAAAGCATATAAATATCATATTTTTTCGAATATAAAACCTTAAAAGAACGCATAAAAGTTTACTTATAAGTTCTAATTAGTAACTTATAAAACTGGAAAAAAATCATGCATAGTCTTAAGCTTAAATTTGGTAATGAAAAAGATTTCGAAAATTAAAAATTCATACATACTGATTATTTTAACATACAAGCTGCTTTGATAAACATTGAATAGCTGCAACTAAAAACAGAAAAAAGAAAATACATAATACTTGTGATTGAAAACACTGAGGCGCTAGTGCAAGTTATACTATAAGTAATAAGTATATGCTAGATATAAATTCGATTGAATTACTGGCGTCCACTAAACTATTCCAAAGATTTCTTTTCGGTTGATGCACACAACAGTTGTTTTTCGATGCCTGAATTTGTTCGAAGTATTCTTCACCAATCATAAAGCATAAACTCACGGAAATTTTTGTAAAATTGTTCAATCTATTAAGAAACTAGAAAAAAAAATTTAATTATCCCTATAGACAATGTTAACAATAATTATGCAATCTTCTGTAAAAAATTATATGTTGAACTTTTAAATACGGAATTAAAAAGTAGTAAAAATTTTAGGCTAAGTAATTTAAATAATAATATTTTCAATAAAAAAATTTTAGTTTTATATAAGAGGTTAAAAATTAAAATTAGCAATACATAATTTCCTTACGTAATTATCAGTCTTAAATTTCATAAAATTCCTATAAAATTTAGAAGAATCACATGTGGGTCTGATACTTACCTAACTAAACCTAGCACCATTTTCTCTAACTACTTAAATAAAATTATTACAAATATTATTAAAGAAGGTTTTTCTTGGATTATCACTAATAATCAACAGATTTTAGAAATTATTAACCATGTAAAATTAATTCTATTGCCACTTTCGATTTCCAGGATCTTTTCAACAGCATTCCACTTTCAAAACTAAGAAATGTCTTTTTGAATTATTACTATGATTTTAAAAGTATCCTTAATAGCGATTTTGATTATTGGGAAATTCTAACTAATTTTTGTCTTTTTAATAATTATCTTTACATTGGAAAAGATATTTTTCTTCAAATTGATGGAATACCACAAGGATCTAATTTTTCATCTCTCTTACCTAACTTATTTTTGCACTATTATGAAAATAATTATACTCTTAATATTAAATGTGTTCTTAGATTTATTGATGATTTAATTATCTTTAATTTTCAAGATTATACAATTTTTTTAAATTATATTTACCCCGAGGATTTAATCTTGCTTCGTAATCATGATGATAAGATGAATTTTAATTTTTTAGATTTGGGTATTATAGAAGAGGAAAATATCTGCTTTGTTGATTTATACGATAAAGAAAATAATTTTATTTTTAATATAAATAAACTAATTCCTTGTAATTCTAATGTTTCTAAAAACATCCATTGAAATACCATTTTTAATCAAATGAATAGAATTAAAAGAATGTTTAGTAATGTTTATTTATCCAAAAAAAATAAGTAGACCAACTCTTTCAAAACTTGATTAAAAAAAACTATGGATACCCAAATAAAGAAATTAAATTTTATTTAAAATCATTGAGTTAATTGTATGCTATTGTAAATAAATTTACTAAAAACTTACTACTTAATTTATATATTTTTGAAAATGTGCCAATCTATTTCGGGCAAATCAATGGCTGAAATTATGAACAAAACAGGCATCTCTCACCCTCTCTCTCTCTTACATGTGGATAACTAATTTAAAGCTCTACGTATTACCTTCTCTATTCTACGCTATTTTAGAAACATATTCTGATCTAACTACACTACTATTATTTATAGTAAGATAACATGTTTTAACACAGAAGTTAATTACAATGACCGAAATACTCATACCATAACTAACACTATTCATAATATTTACAAACTTAATTAAATGCATGATCATTAAATTAGGACTAAGAGTTTTTATGCATTGGTCAATATTATTGAGTAGACTGAATAATTTTTTAACATCACCTTCTATAAAACATCACTTTTATTATTTTTCTAGCTAATTTATAACTCAAGAAAAACTCAACCTACGATGCTTATTTTGTATTTCCTGTAACTATGTACGATTGAATTTTTTTAGTTTCATTAAAAAATAAATACTAAATTATAAATACCTTTGAGGAGTCTAAGACGTTAATTCTAGAATCTGCAGACAACAACAGAACCAATATAATGTGG